AATCCTCATCTCTTTCTTCTTCTTTATCTTTATCTCCAATCCACCTCCATTTTTATTTCCCATTCGCAAATTACAATCTCGCTCGCATCCCCCATCCCTCACCCCCCCATATTTCATCCGCCAATCCCTAAAAGACTGGCTGAGTCCTTTGGAGCACCTCTAGTGTTGTGGGTGTCCATGGGCGACGCCGATTGCTTACCATCAGGTGATGCACCAGCTCGTTTACCCCACTTTCTTAAAAAAAATATTCAGTGTACCATCCTAATAAAAATATTAAAATCACCAGAGGTAGCAGACGCCCACATCAGACTATCGTCGTGCATCACTCAGCTAGCGACGAGGGAGCAGCCTCCTACTGAGAGGTTCCTCACCAGGGCTGCTGAGACATTCGACAAGTGCAGGGTGAGTCATTACAATATATGTACGTAATATTGGGAAATTTTACTAGGAGAAAAAAAAATATTTCTTAGAATTCAGAGAAGAGCGTTGACTATCCCCATAGATGACGGGGATTATGACTTATGTATATCTAACGCCCGAATACTGAAAGATTCCTCAACTTTAAGTGGTACTTAAATATCGTGCCAACTCTGTCATTTTACAAAGAACTTGTAGTGTAACTTTCTTTGCTATTCTTTAAAAAATGTTACCCCACACTAGGAGTCGCGGAGTATCTAACGGGTAACCGGGGCTCTGGCTCGAAGTGCAGGAGTAGGAACGGGGTGGTTTTTAGTCAGCAAGAGTCTGACACTCCCTCCCGCCTCACCCAGACAGGAGCAGTCATTCGATGATTTTCCCCCCTTAAATAAAAAAAACCCCACAGTAGGAGTCTCTCTTGTGTCGTGTGTGTTTACAAACATACAAGTTCACATACTCATGACACCCAGACCCGGAACAACAATTTGTAGATCACACAAAGAGTTGCTCCGTGCGGGAATCGGACCCGCGACACGTTGCGCGGCAGCCGGTTGCCCAACCACCTTCATTAAAATTGAATGACGTTTCAGTATTCGGTATGCCCGAATACTGAAACGCCTTAAAAAACATTTTAAGTCGGTTGAAAAGGGGGTTTACAGTGGTTGAGCAAAGAGGTATTTAAAAGCTTCATGTCGATCTATGACGATTACAATGTAATTGTTTTAATTTTTTTACTTAAGCCTTTGACTGCCGACAGAAAACTGCTGAAGGCAAATCCCCGGAGACCTACGCGGCGATTAACGTGTTAAACTTTTCACAAATACAGTATCTTTTTACATTTTTCGCAGAAAATCGAGGGTCGCATGGCATCAGACCAGGACCTGAAGCTAGCAGACACTCTCCGCTACTACATGAGAGACGCACACGCTGCCAAGGCAGTGCTCGTCCGGAGACTCAGGTACGATGTACTGGATCCAGGAGACCAGTGCCTTTAGCCAAACGCCACTTTAGCGCTTGCCTACAGACACAGTAGAAAACTAAATGTATGGGAATGACACTGACAAGTGTCAAAATTTATGTCAATTCCATATAATTTAGTTTTCTATTCTACATC